TGATTTGGAAAACTCATTTTTGAGCTCTTTGATACATCTGTTTCAGATAATATCTTTTAGTTGTACTGTAATAGCATCAACTTGATTTTTGAGTTCTATGGCCTCTTTATGATGCTCAGTAATGATATTCAACAATATATTTATATTTGAGTTGAACATCTCTGAGATTTGTGTTGCTCCAATATTTATATATTCATATTCTTCTTTAAGAAAATCTGTCCTTTTTTTATATGTAAAATAGATTGGTATAATTTCATAACCTTAGCTTTATCCATCAGCAAATTCTATGTTTCTGCTGAGAAAATTTGCAAAGAAATTATTAATTCTTTTAATATGAACTATATCAAAATTATAACATGCTAAATAAGCTTGCCATCTATGGAGTCTTCTGTATTGAGGCTCTGATGGTAATTTATTCCTAACGAATTTTACAACTTGAGAATTATCAGTTTCAACAATATATTTCTTGGATAACAAAAATATTGAAAACTTTTTTATTCCTCTAATAATTGTTAATAATTCTTTCTCATGAGTGATATAAATTATTTCTGCTTGATTAAAAGTTCCACTTAAATCGACAAATTTCATTTAAATCTATTTTTAATATTGCCGTCTAATATTTATCCGAGGCATTAGTATTAACAATTAAATTATCTTTTTTATCTGATAATCTTAATTTTAGTAAATTTTTACATTCTTCTTTTAATAATTTAACTATTTTTGTATGTTCTTCATTCCGTCCTTTAATATTTGTTTTTCTAAGTAAAATTTATATGTTATGCCTTTTCTTATAAAGATTTTTAATAAAAGCTTCTGTATAATTTAAACATCTTAAAATTTTTTGTATTTGTTCTTTGAATTCTAATTTATTTGGAAAACTTTCTATCTTTTTAGATATATGAGTATGTAATTTTATTCCTTTTTTTATCTATTGATAATCCAAAAAAATCTATATCTTATTTTTCTATTATAGATTTCTTTTTAGAAAGTATAATTCGTTTATGAATTGTATTAAATGATTCCTATATTTTTCTTTAATGTTAGAACAAATCAGTATATCATCTATATAAACAATTAGAAATTCATTAAACTTTTTAAATATATTATCCATTTTTCTTTGATATATTTGTGGTGTATTTTTAATCCAAATGACATTACTAGTCATTCATATTTTTCATGAGATGTACTAAATGCAGTATATTGTATACTATCTTATTCCATTTTTATTTGCCAAAATCTTGATTTACAATCGAATTTAGAATAATATTGTTTTCCTTTTGCAATATTTATTAAAACTTCTTTATTTGGTAAAAAATATCAATCAAATTTAGTACATATATTTAACTCTTTATAATTTATAATCATTCTAACTTTTCCTCTAACCTGTTCAGAATGTTTCATAATCATAGAGGTTGGACTAGTATGAGGTCCATTGCTAGGTCTAATAAGTTTCTATTTTAACAATTCTTTTATCTAATTTTTGAATTTTTGTGTATCTTCTATAATATACATCATTGGTTTGATACTTATTATAACATTTTCTGTTAATTCCATTTTGGTTTTAGGGTGATATGGTTTTCAAAATAACAATGGATTTTCTCCATAAACTTTTTCTAATTGTTCAATAATTTTTTCTATACTTATTTCTATTCCCATTTTCAAGACTTTTTTTATACAATATTCTTTTATTTTTTTATTTCATTAAATATTATTGGTTTTTTCTCTCATTTATCACCACGTTGGGTTGGCTGAACTCTATAAGGTCTAAATTCTCTTGAAATTTTTAATAAATGTCCACAAGATGTTTGTAACATTATCATATAATTATTTTGCTTATAATATTGAAATTGTTGTATAAAGTCATTTCCTAATAATATATCACATTCTAATTTATCATATTTATAAATTTTATTTATTGTAACTTGTTTACTTCCAATAATTATACTAACTTTATCAGCACTATTTATTATCTGGGTACTTTCTCCTGTAACTCCAGTTATTTTTATATTACTATTATCGTTACATGATTTTATCAAAGACTTTTAAATATTGTTATATCACTTTCTGTATCTATTAAAGCAAAAGTTGTTATATTTGTTTCTCTAATAGTAATTTGTATATATATAGCCAACGGAAAACTTATCTGATTATTCATTTAATTCTTTTTACATAATATAGTTTGTTCATTATGAATTATATATAATCCTTCTCTTTTTATACTATAATCTTCTAATCCATTTAAAAAATTCATTCCTAAAAGTATATGAGGGTTTATATCCATACTTTTATCTATATAATATGGTATTAAAAGATCTATCCCTCCTACTTTTATTGGTACCTTAACTTCTAAATCTGTAAGATATACCTGTCCATCAAAATTTACATATCTATATGGATCAGTTTTATGAGTTATTAATTATTTATTCCTTATTGAAGTTATATGACATTCACTAGCTGCTGTATCTATTAATATATTTGGTTTATTTATATTTTCTCTTCCATTATAATATTCTCCTTCTATTTTCATATTTCCAGTATTCTTGTATAGTTTTATTTCTTTTATATTATTAAATTCTCCTAACTGGTTTTTATTAGGTATTCTAAGACTTTTTGATCTTTTGATTAATTTTCTATCCTTAAATGTTATATTATTAGAACATTCTTTTTCATTTAATTCTGTTATTTCAGGATTATTTTTTGTTATACAAAATTCATATTCTTCTGGAATTAAATTTATTTTGTTTATATGGTTCTATTATTTTACTAGTATCCTTACATTCTTTATGTATTTCACTATAAGTTTTATCAGAATAAATATTTCCATAATTAGAATTGGTAAATGTGTATAATGCTCTATACTCTATAGTCATAATCTGATCACCTGGTTGCATGATATCATTTCTATGCAATTTAAAATGCAATCCTAAAACTTCATTAAAATTTATATCTTTCAATGGTTCACAATATTTTGGGTAACATGTAAACATTATTTTTTTATATGCCAGATTTCCTTATATTGTTCCTAAATGACTATTTTTTAAATTTATTATCCTTCCATCATGCAAGGTTATAGTTAAGGGTGAGTCTATCCATTCTCTAAATAATGATTTAAACATTATTAGTAATTCTACTAAATAAACATATTGAATTTTTTCACTTTGTTTTTTACTAATCTTTGTTAATAGTTCTTCAGCCATATTTAAAAAAAAAGAAAAAAATTATGTTCATATGTTCTTCTTACATTTATGAGTTTTTATATTTTGTGATATTCATTTATTGCTATCATTTCTCTTTCCAAATCTATCTAAAACTTCTCATTTCCCTATTTTTAAATCTAAAAATAATATTTGTAATTTTCTAAATTTATTGTTATCAAATATAACTTTTAATCCGTATCTTTCTATTCCTTCATATTCCTGTATATTTATATTATCCCTTTCTATTTCTTCTATTTCCTTATTCAGATTCAGATTCAGATTCATCATCCTCCGTTTCATTTATATAAACTTCTTGATTATAATATAACAAACTAACTTCTTGATCAAAACCATTGTTGCCATATCTTTTATGTGAAGCTGCATATTTTGCTTGGCAACGTGCCTTCCCGATCGTTATCGACAATCCCAATTGCATGAATTGGAACGCAAAATACTCAACAAGCATTAGATCCAGCTACATCTTTCAATATGAGTCTCTAATCCCGTTTCAAACAACTCCCTTGTAAGGATGGCAGGACATTGATCTCAACTTGGTGGTGCACACAGTCTTTCTTGGCGCATGGATCATCAAATATTAATAAAGGAATGGTCATTTGAAAGGTGGTGGTAATTACTTAATTATATAGGGCAACTTCTATCCTTTGGCATTTTCACTTCCCTAGAGAGAGACTCTCTCAAGTTTGCAATGCTTGTAGTATATGGGCTATAATAAAACATAGCTATCTTTTTTGTTTTGGGTATTCGGCTTTTTGATTCATGATTGCTATAGTTCTTACATTTTGTTCCAAGAGCGTAATTTTGATACAAATTTATAAATGGTTTATAAATTTGATCAAAATAAAAATAATAATAACAATAATTTCGACCATACATTCAGAACTAGTTATCTACAAACTTCTTTTATTTTGTTTAAAAACAAAAAATCTATCCAAATGTTGTTTTTAAACACGACCTAGATAGACTAGTTCAACTAGAATATCGGCAAATTGACTGTTAATCGAGGCTAAATCAGAGCATTGAGAGGATTGCAAAAGCAGAGTTAAGACCAAGTGCACAACCGATATATGTTGGAGGCTTCAAAATTAGTACTTGTGGTGCCCGACCTCGGATCAAAAGGCTTCTTTCTTTTGTTCTTCCTCATATCCCTCTTCCAAAATCAATTTCTCAATTTCTGCTGTATTTTCTCCTCCTTTAATCACTAGAATAAATGGATGATTCGATGCTTCTAGGCCTGAAGTCAGGGCTATGAATTGTGAGAGTCAGAGCCGCCTTAAGCACTGGTTAGTATCAATGGATGCTGTGTCTAATTCTCCATGTTGCAGAGTGATAAAGGTCCAATGCACCAAACCTTGCCTTGGACATAATATTTTCCTTACAACTCTTCAATACTATCAAGGATTGCCTCTTCATTCTCAAAAGGGTATAGAAGAAAGAAATTTAAATACGAAAGCTCGTCTTTAAATTAAAAGGTTACGTCTTCTTTTAGTTTAGAAGGCTTTTGAAGATGGTTGTGTTGTTTTGAGTATATGGACTTTTTCCTATAAGTGCATCCCTTTGTCTAATGTTGCAGTGGGCTCCTTCGGCGCGCACACACCCGGTGCCACACAACCCCTGAACGTCCAGGGGTTGTTCAAGTGCCTTTTCCCTTTTACATGTTTGGCACCCATTCGTAATATATTCCAACATTTTCCTTATAGTTTTAAACCTTCATAAAAAACCACGAGTTATGGACGATTAATTCTTCCAAAAGCTATAAATAGGGCATCTCATAAAGCAATTTTTACACACAAATGATTTACATAGGATCGGACCTGAGGCGAGGCAAGTGTGGCCCTCACCCCATGCCCAACATCAAAGGGGACCGATAAATCTTCGAGATTTTTCGAGACCCAAGACCAAAGGATTAAACTATTAATCCCACTAACAAGCAAACAAGTTCAGGAACAAGACTCAACCATGGAATCAGAGTGAAGGACAATCATAAGGAAGAAAACAGAGGAATTTCCGAGGATTTGGTGGAAGATTCAACAACATGTACATGCAAAGATGTCGAAGCGTGTAGCAATTTTGGACATTCTGCACCGGGAAATGGAGGAAATCCAGCTGCCTTTATTGTATTTGTATCACCACAGACAATTGGACGTGAAACTTTGTATTTCGATAGATCGTGCCACTCCGAATGTCAACAAATGATCACTTGAACTTCGGTAATGATTCTAGGCATATTGGGATAAAAGAGAAGTCCTAGTCATAATTTATGTTGATCTAGATCTGCAGAACTCGCCATTGCCATCGATGAAAACTCCATCTTCCAGCTCAGTTGGTACAAGTCAAAGCAAGGACACCCATCACTTTCTGTCTATGGAAACACTTCCAATAATACTGAAATCCATCCTGAACCAATACCCCTTGACCAAGAGCAACACGAAACAAATGATATAGAAACACTTGAAGGACTGGAAACCAACCTACCCACCGAAACTCTAGAGCAAAAACAAAAATCAATCCAAGTCTCTTGCCATCACATGGATACGAGATAAAAAAATGGGATCTTCATACCAAAACCTACTCTTTGAAGCCAAAAAATATCTGCGTTCACCAAAAATGAACATTTAGAACCAACAACAGTTAGTGAAGCCTTGAAATCGGCTGAATGGATGAAAGATATACATAATGAATACCAAGCCTTCATGAAAAACAAGAAATGGAGTTTAGTTCCATGCTCATCCGGTCTAAACATTTTTGGCAACAAATGAATTTTCGAAACCAAGTTTAATCCACATGGAGGGCATAAAGCGAGGTTAGTGGTAAGGGGTTTCATCAAACCCCGGTTGTAGACTCGTATGAGACATTCAGTTCAGTCATTAAGGCACCCCCTATACCAGTTATTCTTAATCTAGGTGTCTCAAGAGGTTGGGGTATTAGACAATTGGATATAAACAATGCATTTTCGAAAGGTTTTTTCACAAGAAAATGTGTCTATGAGCCAACCTGAAGGTTTTATTCATAAATATAGACCACGACATGTTTGCAAGGTGAACAAACCCTCGTATGACTTAAAACAAGCTCCGAGAGTTTGGTGTGAGCTAAAGAGATCTTTTGTTGTTTGGGACTTCAAAAATTCAAGAGTTTGATCCATCCTTGTTTATTTGTGTTAATCTATGTTGATGACGTACTAATCAGCGTAGGAATCTCAACAGCAGCAAGGTTCAAGAGTCAGCTTTCTTTTTGTAAAGGAAGAGTGATATTATAGAATATCTTAATTAGACAAACTTAAACCTGACACATGGACTACCTTATAATCAATAAAGAATAGGACATTGAAACATCATGTGCAATTACTAGGTGATGAGTGATCCTTATGTTGATTCCTTATTCTTCTTCACAAGTTGCTCGATGTCTTGAATTAGCATCGTCGTGTTGAGATAGGACGATCCACCTTCTTCGACTGACCTCTTTGCCATTTCTTTTAGCGCTTTTGCTTTTTCCCTTCTTTCACACCCTTTTTTTCCCTTATCCATTACCATGTCAATGGCAGCCTTAATCTCGTCTTTCATAAGCTTTATCCCAGTCCCTTCTTGCGCGGTAAAGTCTACAGCAGCTTCAGCTCCAACTCTTACACCCGTGCCCAAAATTTGTACTACTAATTTTTCATTTAGAAATTGCTCGGCAAACAATGGCCAAGTGATCATTGGCAGGCCAGCACATATACCTTCTAGAGTTGAATTCCAACCGCAGTGTGTTAAGAATCCTCCTACTGAAGAGTGGGATAAAATCAGTACTTGTGGCGCCCAACCTCGGATCAAAAGGCCTCTTTCCTTTATTCTTTCATCAAATCCATCTTCCAAAATCCACTTCTCTATTTCTTCTGTTTTTTCTCCTCCTTTTATCACTAGAATAAACGGAGAGTTTGACGCTTCTAGGCCTAAAGCCAGCTCTATAAATTGAGAAGGCGTTTGACGGCTGAGGCTTCCAAGGCATGCGTAGATTACAGAATCAGGCTCGTGTGAGTCGAGCCACCTCAAGCACTGGTTTGTATCAATAGAGGCCTTGTTTCCTCTTTGAGCTTTGTCTAAATTCTCCCTGTTGAAAAGTGAAAGTGGACCAATGCACCAAACCTTTCCCCTTCTGATCTTCAGGAATTCATCAACATATCTTTGTTCCAAATCTTCGAAACTATTGACCACCACCCCATAAGATAGTGCTTCAGTTGCTCGTATATCTTCAGAAAAATCGTGCGCTTCCACCGAGCGTGGGTTGAGCAATTCAGGCAGCTGGAACTTAGTAAACTCAATTCTATCAGGTAAACTAGGCACGACAAAAGGCTCCAACTCGGGCACAGTTTCATGAACCTTGGAAATTTGCAATTTATTCATTATCAATTGTGTGAAGCAACTCATTCCATCAAAAATAATCCTCGGAATCTGAAGATTATTCGATAAATCGGCCGTCCAGGACAGATGCTTATCACATATAATGCAACTTGGAGCTGGCTTAAGTCCTTTCAACATCTGTTCCAATGGCTTTTGTAGCATTTTTGCTGCAATAAAGAAGTTCCTTGTTAACTTATAGGATGGTAAAGTGTCTACACTTTCACATCCTACGGGCAAACCGGCTTCCTGACATGGAAACCGGAGCTGAAGAAGCCGAATGGGGAGTCCAGACGAGATAGCACGATCAATCACTGCATTAAACCTGATTGTGTTGAGGGGCGTCGTGACTATTGTCACAATAATTCCACGTTCTGCAAACAACTTTGCCATGTCTATCATTGGAATTATGTGGCCAGGGGCCATTAAAGGTATCAAAACAAAGTTTAGCATCTCTGGTTGCAAAGCCATTGAATTTAACTCTCAAAGCCTAGAATATGGGATGCTAAATACACGAAAGTACAGAAAATTTTTATTGGGATATTCGATTGCTCAATAGAATATGTTTATATAACATATTTCTGTTTTTCCCTATCCTAATCCTAGTGATGTAAGAGCTTACAAAAGCATGTACGGTGTTGTAGGTATAATTTGCAGAGATGATTGCATTGGCAAGCAATATTGGATACGAGTATACGACATTAAAATTAAAAAGGTAAAAATATGAATAGGGTACAATCAAAAAACCATATCCACTAAAAACCATATATAATGCTACCAAATTATACCATCCAGTGATATTTCAAAGCGAGTACAAGCAATAAAACTCAGGTCCTACATGCAGCTTTTGACAGCGAAGAAGATATATTAAAAACTATATGACAAATTTTGTATGGTCACTAGTGAAATCATTTGATTCGTTCCAATAAAAAAATCGGTTGATTTGTTAATTTATCCAGAAGAAAGTCATTTTATTTTGAAATGTATCTTCACAGTTTATAACAGTTAAAATTGACTGTTCTAGTCCATTTTAAAAAGCTGTATCTACTAAGAAGCAAATAGGAGGTTCTTTTATGTCATATCTTGCCCTCAATCACTGTCAGTGTAATAGGCAATTTTGAAATTGTTAAGACTCATGCTTCATATAGCATCAAGAAGGTTGTTCCTCACTTCCTTCTCATCCAAAATCGTGCATGAGAGCTATAGAGTCGAAAAAAATATTCCTTCAATTGGTTCAAAAGAAAGAATCGGGTGTCAGAATTAGGGAAAAAGAAGTCAGAAAACAGAATTTTCTCAAGATTTAGAGTTAAGAAAGTAAACAGAATGTCAAATTACTGGGAACCAAAAAAATGTTGCAACATCCATCTTAAGGATACAATACACGGATTTATGATTGCATGACCTCTAACATCTATTTACAACATCTAAGCAACCTTAACCGTTCTCACAACTGAAATTCCTTTCTCAAGTAATGAAATTTGACAAATATGAAGTGACATACCGGAAGTAGCAAGAAAATGGCACTAGACAGTTGAACCTGTTTACGGCAGTATGAAATAATAATCAGATTGTGATGTCTGCAAGTCAAGACCAAACATGTCCATTATCTATCTTCTTCTGTTTCTTTTTTTTATTCTCCTTTCTTCTTTTGGTTCCATCCTTGCTTCAGCACTTTTTGAATACTTTGAGCAAATCTCTAATACTTTACTTTTTGCATTTCGAAATAGTGCATCTGACTTTGCAGCCATGAGCCATCAATTGCTGATACAAGAAAGAAATGGGTTTTAGTTATTCCAAATGATGCGCAGTCAATATTACGTTGCAGATTCAGAAATGAACTACCCTAAGATGATCCATTGCAGCCAAGTTGAAACTGAGAGTATCTTTGCATTCCTGTGACAATGCAAACATCAATGCACAAGGCAAAGCAGAGGCAAAGTGAAATACAGAATTGGGATGCTAGGACGTGTGCACTGAATTTCACCTAGTGGCGGCAACCAGCCGAGCCAAGCCGGCTTGCTAGCCCAAGCTCGAGGCTCGGTATCGGCTCATCAAAAAATGAAAAAAAGAAGCTCAAGCTTCTGTATGCTAAGACGTGTTGATGTAGGATGCAATAGAACAATTGTAGGAGAAGAGGAAGGGAAAGAGGAAGAGGGGAAAGGGGGGAGAAAATATCAAATTTTATTGTTGCCTTCGTTATATCGCATGGCCCTGGGTTTCTAACGATCTTATTATAAATAAGAAAATACTATAAAAGCTAATAAATCAAAGAAAAATAATGCTTCCTAAAATACGATTTGAAATTGGAAACTAAATAAATAAAATCCCTTATAATACTCCATTACGTGTGTGCTGAATTTCACCCAGTAATGGCAACCAACCGAGTGGAGACGGCTTGCGAGCCCAAGCTCGAGGCTCAATATCGGCTCGTAAAAAAAAAAGGCTCAAGCTAAGCCCAAGGTTTGGCTCGATCCTTTGTTGAGCCGAGCCAATTCATGGGGTGTAGTACTTATTGTGTTTGTAATCTGAATGCCTATGCAAGAATCCAATACTGATGTACGTTTATTACATTTTAATCTATGGAATGGTACTACATTATACATGAAGAGTCATGATTTCCTGGAAAAATTACTACAAATGCTGCAAAAAAACCCTTTTTTTTTTATTTTTTTTTTTTTTTTTTTTGAAACTCAAATATACGATAAATTGACCATTAATTTACAAGTTACAAAATTAATTCGAGTTGCATGAGCCCACATTTAGGCCGCCTCATATTTGGGCTTGTGTGGCTCACGGGATGGCTTGGACTAGGGCCAAATCTCATTTTTGAGACTTGGCTTGAGCCTTGGCTCATACAAATGAGCTCCGAGCCAAGCTAAATTAGACTTTTTCTAAGTTGAGCCATCGACTGTCCGAGCCGATGGGCTCGTTTGCCACCAATAATTTCACCAACACTTCAATTCCCAGGCAAGTAAAACAGGTAATATCATTTACCCACATTCTAAATTTGTAGATGTTTAACATAAAATTTTAGATACTAGGAGAACTTGTAACAATTGAAGACAAATATGAAAAATCCTGATTGAACTTTTATCTTTCTTATACATCTATAGCTTTTAATATTAGCTTTAGAACACAGGAGCTGTTAAATTTGCTTCAATTATTGGTTATAACTTTCTAAAAATCAAATCGACTTCATCGAGCGAGCCTTTTCCAAACAGAACCACTGTAATTGCTCAAAAATCTTTCAGAACTAGTACCATGCCATAGATAATGAAAGCTGAAAAATTGAATTTACATTAACTTTTTGTTTCCAAATAGAGTATGCTATAAGTTAGCATAGAGGGCCACCTTCAAAGAAGAGTGAGGTGTTGAAAATAAAGTCACATTTTTTTACCATAAAAACATTACTTAATGGTTAAGAACAATACATACATGCATGCAAGTGGTGGTGGTGGCGGCGGTGGCAAAATTGGAGTTTCCAACTAATGATAGCCACATTTTTTGACCAAATGGATAAGGTTGTGGATTTCTTAATGGTTAAGAAAAATACATACATGCATGCAAGTGGTGGTGGTGGCAAAATTGGAGTTTCCAACTAATGATAGCCACAAGTGGAGAAAATTCTAGCCATCTTTCCTCTTCATTAGGCGATGGAATTTAATGCAAGTCGTGGCTAAATTTCCTATAAATATAGGATTGAAGTAGAGAGAAAAATAGTGCATGTAGAAAGGAAAAAATTTGTAGAAAGCAAATTGAGTAGAGAAAAAATTGAGAGTATTTCCTAAATTGGGTGAACCACGTAAATACCTGTGTCCATTTTTAGCTATATTTTTTCAATTCCATTATTTGTCAGCCAAACTCGACCCACACGTTTTCTCTCCAACACGAGGTAGATCACTTCACGTTGATGCAAGGCCATCGACCCCCCTCCCCCCAAGTGCTCTACCTCTATGTTAGACCGTCGACCCACTGGGGTACTCTACATCTATGAGATATCCTCAACCCCCGAGAGCGCTCTACCTCAACAAGAGATCGTCAATCCACTGGGGTCGTTCTATCTCTACGCGAGACCGTCGACCCCCCTAGGTGCTCTATCTCAATGCGAGACCGTCAACCGATATGGAATTACCTATAGGATCATCTCAACACTTAACCATAAAATCTTTGATGAATTGACAAGATTACATGGTGGTTACCACGGGCACAACCTCCGAGTGAGAAGTTAAGACCCCCACTCAGAACATGGGGATAATGAGAAGGCTAACGTGGGGACATGTGGCACCACAACCACCCGGTTCTCACTCAGTTTTCGACATCTATAAATACCCCCGAGGGCGATACAGGTATGGATGATTGCATATTTTTCAGTCATCTGAATTTCATCCTTATTTCTCCTAATACGTATACTGATTCTCACGTCGGAGATAAAACGGAAGAGAATGCCTCACCCTCACTTTTCAGGTTGCACTCCCCTGTCCGAATAGCAGGAACGCCAAAGGCCACCAGATAAATCAGGAGGTATTATTCCACCACCATTTCAGAGTAGAAAATATTATTTATTTTGACAATAAGTAGGAACTGCTTTTAAAATAAGTAAACTGCTTTTTCCAACTTTGACAGAATGAAAAATTATTTCTTTTAGAATTTACTTAATTACTTACAAATAATTTCTTTAAGCTTTGGCAAACATGCACACATAATGTAAAATTACCTCAACTCTTAAATTAAAAATGTCTTTGAATAGAGTTAAGACAGGTTTGGCGGCCACAGTAGCAACTAGCTGGTTGTGATGGATCTGCAATAACACTGTGGCAGACATGCTCAATCTGCCAGAAGAGTGAAAATCATTTGTAAGCAATAACAAGATTACGAGTGATATGTCAGCCGTGCTATTTTAATAGCGAACACCATATATTTTTAAAATGCGTGAAATGAACAATGTGTTCCTGTAGATTATGATTTTTAAGTTGTCAACATTTTACCAATTCAACATGATCATATTAACAGTACGTGTTTTGTGTCAATTTCTATGGTTCCTAGATTTTAGAATTTGATCAAGTCTCGTGTTTTGGGATGTTGAAGCTCAGATCGCCCCCCATCTCAAAAAACCAAACAATCATTCGAATGACATAATCAACTGGATGCAGGAAAGAAACAGCTGGAAATTAAACGTACGAACAATGGAAGTACAACAAAATCATGGGCTTGCCATTGTGAATAGAACTTCCATTGCACGACATATATACATTTGAACTAGTCGAAATGATGGTGCCATATAATTTACCACTTCGACTGATAAAGAAAACTATAGGACTGGAAAATCTTCATTCAATTTCAGTTTGTGCAATAAAATTTAAGCTGTGTTAAACTTTCATGTGATGTAAAATGATTGTTCTCCATGTCATTAAAGCAGCACTGACCTTATCGGGTAAAGAAGCCCAATCTTTCAAATAAGACAAGATTTTTAAAGCGTCTGAGAATGGTAGAGCCTGCTAGGAAGTCCAATTGAAATATTTTAACTTTTTCCAAATGTGTGAAAAACCGAAGAGTTAATTGTGAACATACTTTTCATGGTCAACTTATAAACAGTACCAGAATCATATTCGGAACAAGGTTCGCAGCTACAAGTTCATTTGATTTTTACTTCTTCTATATTAGCAGGGGACTTATTATCTAAACTATTAGTTCTATTCTTTGGGAGATTTGATTCACTTTGAATCAACAAATTTAGAATAAAGGAGCTCGCTTTGATCGTTAAGAGTAGGTAACATGTTTCCTATCTTTGTTTCTATATCATCCAATGAAAAAGGAAAAGGAACAAATCAGCACCCCACACGCAATAAGGAATAGTATGAAAATTAAAATCTCTAGACATTCCTTTGCATTGCCATGCCACTTCGAATTTACAAAATCAGGTACCATTGAAGTGGAAAGCTGGGCGAGCTTTTACTGTGTATGTAATTGTATTTCCCAATAAATGTGACGAACCATTTTGTTTGGGTACAAATAGGATTGCGGGAAGATCCCCATAAATCATTGTGAATCATGATAAATGGTTGTCCAAAAATTTACTATTAAAAAAACTCACTGTACACTAAAAATGGCTGTCGAATAGGGGGCTAGATTAATTTTTCTATCCGTCGATGGTCCTAAATTGACGTGTTCATTGCTTGTTTTGCCTCAACAAACTCCAAATCCAGCTTGGAGTGAATATGTCAGCAAGAGCAGAGCATGTTCCCGAAACAGGCAATACGCAGATTTCAGGAGATGTACGCCGTCATCGTGTGCTTGGGAATTATTGACATATTTCAAGAGTACAAGTGTACAACGTGAGTAAGAAGATCGAACATGAATATAAATCAATTCAATTCGATTTTGTATCCATATCAGCAGTCGACCCTACGTTCTACTCTCAGCCCTTCTTACGATTCATTCAAAATGCTTTGCCCGGTTAGAAGACCCAAACACAAGGCTTCATCTCTGCCTCCATTTATTAGAGCTTTTTCTCTTCTCGCCCACTACAAAATCAGCGGGTGGACACTGTACTTTTATGTATATTGAGATGAAGAGATGATTTTCTCCCATATTGTTTCTTGATTAATCTGTAACTTTTTCATATTGTTTCATTATATCATGAAACTTCAATCTTATTTTTGGTGGATCGATCCCTATTTATCGCATCTTTCACTAATCTGCCATTAGCCAGTAAATTGCTGCAATTTTTGCCAATATTAGGAATGACTAACCATTGCATCTAAATAAGCGAAATACATAAATGATTGGTGCAAAAACATATAATCTAGGATCAATAATGGTGCTTGATCAATCAAATAATAATAAGATACAAGCGTCAAGAACTCAACCTGAAATTTAATTTACTAACGATTAAATACTTCTCTATACACTGGAAACCAAACCTATAAGAATTCATAGCACGTGGAGAATTTTTTTTCTAAATTTTATATTTTCATTGACTGCGTTGCGTTCATTAGCGCAGTCTTTTTTCAAAATTGTACCCACTTATGAATGAGCTGATACAGCACTAGAAGCCTCTTCCAAGATTCTCCGAGCTTCCGTTCCAGGATCGGTGAGCTCACTCGGAGTCTGCCAAAATTAGACGATAAAAAAACCAGATAGTATAGAAATCAAGATTCAAAGAGTGGGTCACAAGCTAACCTTCCCATAGATATTTGTTGCAGTTGGAGAAGCTCCATGAGCTAGCAACAGTCTTATTACATCATCGTATTCTCCTCTAGCGGCATGGTGCAGAGGCTACAGAAATAAACCAAATATAAGTAACATTATTCAATTTTTGCAAAAACAACCAGACTTATTTTCATAGAACCTCTTTGGGCAAGCAAACCTAATGTAGAATGTTTGCAGACCTAAATTGAATATGATCAGGAAAAGGTCTCACCGTGTCACCTTCCACATCAACAGTTTGTAGCATTCTTTTGACACGTTCTGGATCATTAGCACCGTTTAAAAGAAGTTGGACAACTTGTGTATATCCTGTAGAGTTGTTTCAAAAGGAAAAGAACAAAGGTATTAAAAACTCTAGAGAAAATGACAGCTAGGCGGCTAGGAAAGCTGATAGCCCACACCTCCCGCACAGGAATCATGCAATGGAATTGCTCCATCTTCATCCTTGGCCTCCAAGTTGGCTCCCCTTTCCAATAAAAACTGCTTCAAACAACAATTTATGAGTCATAATAAAAAGGCACCATCAGATTCTGTTCCATTGCAACATGAATAGATATGTAGGATGACCAAATTACAACTACTGAACAGCTGTAATTGCAAATTAATCATAGAATCAAATGATTTTACCTGAACACAAGACAAATGACCATACAAACATGTAAGGTGCAGAACAGTATCCCCATCTTCAACTGGTTCATCAATGCTACCATCAAAATTATCTGAATCCATAAATGCATTAGTACAAGGAAGAATTAAGAACCACAGAAAACCCTATTTTTTAATCCATATATATGATAAGCATAGATCTTTAAGGTAGTATAGATAAAAAGGCAAACAAGCTAGCAAAGATGAAGATGATAAACAACTTCCCCATTTAAAATTAGACAAGCAACTGTAAATCGAAGGCAGCTTTACTTTTTGAGAACTCACTAATCTGTTGACGAACGTCAATTATAAGGTGTAACGGAGTTATGTAGCTTCCATGTTTGTAAACCTACATGGTTCATCAAACTGGAATAGTTCCCCAACATTGGACACTTAAGAAAAATATGAGTAAAGGTTGGCTAGCAACTTAAAAATTAAAAAATTAAAAATAATAACACAGCTAAAAATGGACACAAAAATTAACGTGGTTCGCCCAATTTAGGAGACGTCCATGGGAAACTATAGAAGGATTTCACTATTTTAAAGTGAGGATTACAACTTCTTCTCTCTAAAAATAAGAAGAGTGCAATTACGCCGCCTTATAATAGGAGAAAACACATTTTCTCTAACAAAAAAACTACAAATATTGAAAAGAATCCTCTCTTTTCTCTCTATCCCTTCTAAAAATCTATTTTTCCACCAAACAAACAGTGCCACACACACATATATACGTAAGTATATGGCGGTAAATGGGACAGTGTACATGAGCTATAAAAGACATCCATCGTTTATTACTTCAAAAGACTTTTTCTACATCTCAATATTGAAGCAATTGATTTCTCAATCTAAGATGTAAGCAGCAAATTCCTTGGCTACCCCAAGTCCAATATCCAAGCCACAAAAGAGGCATTATTGTCAACATTTCTTCCACTTAAAAGTCATTTTTATGTAATACTCACTTTAAAATAGTGAAATCATCCTATATACATATTTTCAATTTCACTTACTGTGAGCCAACCTTGATCCATATTTTTCCTAATAATGGTATCGGAGCGAGGTTTTGTGTAGGGTCGTCGTGTACTATTCATATGCACAGTACTATTTGCCGACGTAATGAAAAGGTACTGGTGAACAAAATGACGAAAAGTACGAGATTAAAATGTTCAACGGGAACAATTTCTCTTCATGAAAATGAGAATAAAAGAAGTGCTGAAAACAATAATTGCTTAGCAACAATTAGATAGATGCCCGTGGATATCATTGACGATGATAAGTAGAACAAGATAGATAGCAATGTAATTGCTTATCTGCAACAGCACTAGCCGATGCAGTATTTTTCAAGTGTGACAGAGAAGAAGATGGTAAAAGAGATATGGGATATACTCATAAAATTGTCCAAGGCCAAATCATTACACAATAAAGTCTAATTGAAGAGAAGGATTTACGCCCTTCAAATGATGGAGTCAACTACGGTGACCAACCACATGAACACCCTCGACACTTTATTTTCACAGCTTAGGGCAATGGGGCATAACATATAAGTGGGTAAACATGCTGAGATTTTACTGCAAAATCTACCATATTCGTATAATTTTTTATAGGTAAATCTACTATATTCATATGATCAACTCATTATCAATTTAACTAACAACAAAGAAAGTACAATCTTCGATGATGTTGAAACTACAATTCTTGAAGAAGAAATTCGACACAAGTACAAGATAGATTGACAAGTTTATATGGTGTTGATCTCTATCAACCTAGTGAAAATGTGAGTAGCATGAAAACAATAAGTGTAGGAAGGATAGAAGGATTACAATAAAAGTATTTTTAAATGAGATAAATGTTAACAGTAAAGCCACTTGTGTGACTTGGATATTGCATTTGGGCCAAGCCCAAACAATATGTCGCTTACCTCTTGTATTAGGAAATCAGTTGCTTCAATATTAAGACTTTTCCAAAGTCTTTAAAGTAAAAATGGTGACTATCTTTTTACAATTCACGATCATCTCATTTACTGCAATGCAATATACTCCCTATATATGTGTGGTGTGTGTTGCACCATTTGTTTGGAGGAAAAATAGAGAGAGTTTTACTGAGAGGAAAAAAGAGATGTTTGTCCTAAATACTTGTATTCTTTCTTTTGTTTGAGAGTGTATTTTCTCATATTATAAAAAAGGACATTGTTATTGTGCTCTTATTTCTAGAAAGTTGTAATCTTCACGTGTCATAACTCCTAAATAGTGCAAACTATACCATCATTCTCCATAGAGACAGATCGTGATGAGATGGTTTCACATTGATGGAACCATTCTCTCCAAAAGTGCCACATCTCATCTAGCTCTCGAGTCCATAAGCTAGACATCAGCAAAAGATTTTTTGCCTTCAACAAATGTTATTGCCTTGCTGTATAAGATTTCACCTTCATTCGAGATGCTTGCTACACAACCTTGAACTTTTGGTGACTCGAGACTTTTTTCCTTTGGCTTTTTCATTCTTCTTGAGATGCCAACAGTCTCTTTTGTGTGAGAATAGTGAATGACTCTACTCAAAACCTTGCCCTAATACCACTTTTAGGAAAAACAAGGGCCAAGGTTGGCTTGCAACTAAAGTATAATTGAGAAAAAATCATTTAAAAATGGACATAAATATTTATGTGGTTCACCCAATTAAGGCTATGTCCAAAACCAAATACAGGATGATTTCACTATTTTAAAGTGAGGATTACAACAAAAGTTATTTTAAGTGGGAGAAATGTTGGCAGTAAAATTACTTTTGTAGTTCGAAAATTGGATTTGGGCCAAGTTTAAGCAATCTAAGCCTACCTCTTGGATCAAGAAGCCAAATGCTTCAATATTAAGATTTTGAATAAGTACTTGAAGTTAAAAACGGTAACTGTCATTTTACAGCTTATAGACAAAGAGTTTACATGGTGCACCCAATTTGGGCCATGTCCACGGGCAAGTATACGAGAATTTCTCTATTTTAAAGTGAGGACTACAACAACTTCTCTCTAAAAGTAAAAAGTGAAAAATAACAATGTCCTCTCTTATATATAACAAGAAAAAATATAGTTTCTCTAACACCATGAAAAAAAAAAATTTAAAAATGAAAGAGAGAGAGAGAGAGACTACAAGGTATTTAGTACTTAGAAGAAACCTCTCTTGCTTTACCACCAACAACATTCAACCAACAAGTCAATCCATAGTAATATGTAATCATTCATCTAACTTCTTAAAAATTAGCACATAAAGCATCAAGATAAGAGGTAGATACAAAGAGTACCATCTTTTTTGTAATCCTTCTTATGAATATGAAACGTAAACATAGTATAAGCACCCTTATAAAAGTTTTTTAGGGCATCATTAGTTCAATCTTGATACTAGACATGACAATGTAATCAGCCAACTAAGGAAGTTCTAGGATATATTTTAGCAAGTACAACAAGAGAAACTCAAAGCTTTTGCACTATTATACATGATCAAAATACATGATCAAAAAACAAAGGAGAGTTCATAGAATTATTAAGAGACATGAATTTATTCTAAATAATTTTATTATTGTATTTATGCTAAAGAATTCCAAATTAACCAAAAATTATTTACTAAATCTTCACGAACTGTCTTTAATTCATTTGAGTAGTTAAGCTCAACCCTTATTTTGACTGCACAATGGCATAACAAGTTCAACTTCAAGAAAAAAATCAACACCTAATGAGCGTAAAAAAGGATAAAAATAGTGAAATTGATACCAATTAAAGGATAAATGAAAAATATACATATAACAACAAGCTTCAAGCATAACTTATATACGAGGATTATTTTCACATAATATAAATATTCTATTAAAATTTCATCCAATAATACTTATATTTGCCTATCCTGAAAATTCTATCTTTTTCTTGGCTTTAATTCATTAGCAAAAAACTTAATGATTGAATCCATACTCTGTAATAACAGTCAAATAGTAAACATAATCGCAAAGAATGAAAATTTCAAAGAGAAGACATAATAAATTTGATAGCATATATGTAGTACCAAGGGCTTGACAGAGGGCGTTGAGGTCGCCGGACTCAGCGGCAGCGACTAAGGGCCGAAGGTGGAGAGGGATATCGGAATGATCGATATTGTCCTCTTCCGCGAACTCGACACCTTCTTCCTCGAAAAGAGCTGCGTCCTCCTCATCGCCGCCTAGAACTCCATTCCGTCGACCTCCCGACACCGCCATCTCTTTCTATTCAATCTCTCCGACGCCGGCCGCCGAGAAATATAGATGAGGCAAAAGTCCAGGATTTCGTGAGAGAGACTTGCAGCCCTATTTTTGGAGCTTTGTTATTAATATTTTTTTTAAAAGAAGAAATGCTTCTTAAATAATTATGGCAAAAATAAATTTTCATTTTTGAATAGAAAATTTTTTAAGAGTGTGTAATTAAAAATTAAGAATAAGTTTTGAATTTACAAACAGAATATTTTACTACACAAATGTATAATTAAAAATGAATATGTAAAACAATAATTTTAAAATAAATAATGTCAAACTGGAGTTATATAGGATAATTATATTCACATCGCAATTTTTATTTTTTGCACCATATTTTAATTGAAAGTTTTTTATTTTTGCTCATTATAGCACTTATATCCGTAAAGATTTTTCATGTCATTAATCCTCAAACTTTTTATTGGTTAACACATTTTATATTTAATAACAGTTTTGTATTTAAAGGTTCTTTAAAATAACTTATTATTTCATCATATTTTAAACAAACAAATAAATAAAAAAAACTGCAAAGAATTTATTTTTTCCTCGTTTCAAAACATGAAAACGCAATATTTTGATATAAATTATCAGCAAGGACGAGACATGCTAATTAATAAAGAGTTGAAAATAAGAATTCGATGAAAAAAAGTTAAAAAAATTATTGCTACAATGAGCAAATATTGAGATGTTTAACCGCAATTATAATGTGATATATCAAATAAAAATTGTGGTGATAATATAATTACTCTCATATACAAAGTTTTAATGGAATTTACGATTTGGATATAGTTTTAATAGAAGTTATGATTTGAATAAGATAAATACTTCTATAACAATTAAGACTTATCTAAGTCATTGTTTGACGCCCTTTATTTCATTTTTTTTTTTCGTACAAATTTTTAATTATACATTCATACAATAAAATATTTTGAGCGTAAATAAAAAAAAATTCAAACTTTTTAATCATACATCCTCCAACAAAATTACTATTTAAAACATCATTTTCTCATATTTTTATTTACAATGGCCATCAAATAGGGGGCTAAATATAATTATAAGACTAAATATCGCTTCCAGGACGTCACGCTCACGCGTCTCCTGACCGTAATGGTTGGGCTTGGCTCTGCTCGCCGGTTGTGCTTTAGGTACACCTGTTACAATTTTCACCGCCCAATAACCAATTTGGTCCTAGGTCAATAAATATTTCATAATTTGACAATATTCTTTTAATTATTATTTGCACAATAATTATTTCATTAAAAACATAATTCAACTAGGAAAAAATTATCAAACAAAGGAAAAGGAGTACAAGTAGTTATAAATAGAGTAATAAATATTACCTCTTAAATCTTTTTTTTTTTTTTTAAACCCAATGAGACAACTCAAGAGAAGAAAAAAGAGTAAATATATCTGATCTTAATTAATGAAAATTCTTTATTGAGCCATTCACGTCTTGTATGTCAATGTCTTCAATATCACAGTTCCGATGAAATAGCTTTATGCTACCTTGTTAGAACCTTCAATTAATATCATCTTCACATAATTATTTATCAATCTTTTGTGACTATAGTAATATGATGGTCTAGTAAAAGGCAAATTTTGTTGTTCTCTTAGAAGTCTCGTACATATAAGTGCATTATTCTATTAGTAATTCTATTAGTAAATGTTTTGTATGTTATAGATATTCATTACTTAAAGAATATCTATCGTTAAAATCTTATTGTGTATAATCATATCTAAAAATTCTAATGAAGAAAGAATACTACATTAATTATTTGAATACTTTACAAAAATTGTCTCACTAAAAACCTCGTTTGAAAAATCTAGTGTGTGTTTAAGCCACATTATTTTAAAAGAATATATTCTGAAATAGTAAATTGATGGAGAATGTGTAGTTAAAAAATGATGAAAAGTTTTGAATTTGCGTGTAATATTATTTAATTGAAAATATGTTGTTGAAATGATGTTAAAACACAGTTTAAGAATATATTTCTTTGAAAAAATGTGGTTCAAACAGGGCCCCAATGTGACGAATTTTGGTCAAGAAAAAAGAGTAGAATGTGTATATATCATTATAATATCACTAGAACTATATGTTTCATGCATATTAAAACATTTGAACATTAATACAAATAGAATTAATAGGCATAAAAAATGAGTTGGTTATAATCATATTGTTAGGCTAACAAGGCATAAACTTATAATTGCATCCATCACACAATAATTTATTTGTTTATATCAGGTTTTGCAAAATTGATTATGTTAAAAGTCGTGCATTACGTGTTATGACTTCATTTTTTAAATTTACTTTTCACATAAACATATATATACACCTTTAAGTTTTCAGACTATAGTTAAAGAAAATTCAAATTTCTCTAGTAAGTTCAATTTTTGTTAGGATTGCATCCTTTTACTTGATCAATTATTTCTATGTTGATATGTTTCGATGATTTTCCCTCAATATCTTCGTTATAGTTCATAATATGAAGCTAGATCTATATTATATACCAAAATTCTATCAACAACATTTTCTTTTTAACTCTATTTCTTTTTTCATAATAATATAACTTATTTGAAAAAATTTCAATTTTAAATATTTTACGTACTTGAACTCTTCTAGAGTTTTATAATTTATTATATTCACTAATAGTATATGCCTCCTTAATAAAATTATCTTTACTGCTTGCCCAATTTCATTTGAAGATTTTTGTTGTTGTAGTGTACCTCATTCATTAATCATTGACCAAAATTGATAAAAATGTGTTTTGATAAAGTTGCTTAGTGCAGTAAAGTCCCCTCACAATAGGGGATCCCATTATTTTTTAAATTTATGGTGGGCTCCCCTCATGTGAGAGGGTACAACATAGTATACAACCAACCAAATTCTTTGTTAGATGACATTTTGACTCTACAAGATACTTCATCATTTTTTTTTTTTTTTACAAGGTGTCCAATTCTTGACTAATTCTTGGGTCTGTGATCCGGTCCCTCTTCACACAATCCAGTTAATCGCGGGATGTGTTTCCAACTAGCTAGAGTCCGAGCCCTCCCCACCTGATCTGCCAAAGTGTCAAGCAAGCTAATCCAAGTTGCACATTGTCTTCCAAGATTTCTCTTGCCTTCCAAAAATAAATCTTTGCTTTCCAAAAGCCCCATGAATCGAACTCACGATCTCTGATCTGTCAGGTTTGACAGAGCCCATCCTTTGCCAGTGGAGAAGTGCCCCGGGGGACTACAAGATACTTCATCTTGATCTTATACATGGCTGAGTTGTTGCTATCGGATGGAGGACTTTTGGGCAGTCTCTTATAGAAAGGAGTAATCCTTCTTTCACACATATTACTGTAATTTTCAATTGATGAATGTTCTATGATGCTTTACCAACCGTTGCAATGGTATTTCTCGCTTTATTTCACCTTTTACTCGAGGGGATGATCATCAATGAAAGAATGCACCGTGGATTTAAAAACTTGCTAATTCTAAATTTCTTAATAAACACACGCCATTTTTTTAGTAAATAAAAGGCCTTGTTACACAAGACTATAGTAAAATAACGTTGATATTGCCCACACGATAAGATATTAAACAATTGACAATTACATATCTTTCTTTTTTAATTATGTTTAATCATATTCAACCTAATCTATCAATACCCAATTTGAACTTAAATATCCCCACCCAAAATATCTACCTCAAGTGGAAAACAAGATGGAACCGCACAACACGAACATGTGCTTGATCAACAAACTATGACTTCGAGAGTTGTCAAATAGCATCGTGGATAAGTTCGTATCAAACTGAAACCTAAATGTCAACAACACACATGTCAAAATTTCGTTTAATGATTAATTAACAAATATTAACAAAGTGGCAGTCATGTTATAGTTAAGGTTCTCTAATTTAATAATGATGTGTGATGAATATATTTGTCAAAACTAATTTTATTCACCTCTCATAGAATATGTATTAATTTTATTCTATAAGATCACATAAAATAGGAAGGCATAGTGGTTAATTTTTATTCCACTATTTCTATTGAGAAAACTATTATTTCTATAAAAAAATAAATTAATATTTATTAAACTTCAAAATCATTATACATCATCAAGCGAAACTATCATTTTAATGAAATCACACACCAAACTTTCAATCCAGACAAAGATGGTTGCAAGCATAGAACTTATATGAGGAAAAAAAAATTCAATTTATGTGAGGATGTACTTTTTCCTAAAGTTGAGTTTTAGAAAAGTGTGAAGTATCTAGTAAAAAATTCCTACCTTTGAGGAAAACATCGTCAGGTGACCAATATTTAAAAAATATTTTTCATTGAAAAAATTGTCAATCAAACACCTAGGAACTTGATGAAAAAGTGACATTTACCATGGAAGATAAAGTAAATCAAAACATTATATTCGAAAGCATCTTTGGCTACTAAATTAATTATTTAAATACAATAAATTAAATTTCTTTTGCTAAAAATAGAAATTTTTTTAATTGAGATCAAAATCTAGTTCAAATTGTAAGAACTAAGCTTTACTAGGTCATTATCTTGGATTCGAGTCTCGTTTCAAGGTTAATGGTGAAATTCAAAAAATAAAATGGTCTTGTTTAATCAATCTAGGCCATGTTTGGTGCATGTCAATTTTTTTTTTGGACTTATTTCTCTAAATTTATTTGGACGTTAAGCATGTTACCTTGACACCACAAAAGAAGGGGCAGTTATACCCGGCTTGTACAGTTGCACCATATTCATTAATTATCTATCATTTTAATGGAACGAACTCAAATAGTTGCAGCTTTATTTTGCTTTCTTGTGATGATCAAAACGAACCTAATTCACCACTTTTAATTGCGGTGCTGCTGCGCGCTTAACCCTTTTCATTGCTCATCGTCTTCCTTTTTTGGCAACTTGCAGGATGGCATTTTCGTTGGTGATCATTGACAGAATCGACTCCATCAATGATGCCACGTTTTTGGTAGTGTCGCCCAAAGAGCCAGAGAGAAATACGATGAAATGCTCGAAGATTTAAACTAAATAATCAAAGAAAGACGAAGTAAAAAAATTAAACAAATTTATTAATGAATTATGAATACAGAATAATTATATCTCCTTTGAATAATTTGTTAATAATTCACAATAGTATATGAATAAACTAGTAATGGCAATCAACCAAAGGAGAGGCGGAGAAGACAATAATTTCTTTGGATGCAAAAGAGAACTTGGTTTCTCGAAGATCATCATCTTCTGGTTCTGGGGCAGGAAGATTAAGATCTAATGACAACAGATTTCTTGGTTTCGTAGCTTCTTTAGACTCTTCATGGCTACTATCAGGTGCCACCGTAGCCAACGGCATCGGCCTGTGCCGCCGCATATGACCACCTAAAGCTTGGCCGGAGCTGAATTCAGCCCCACATATTGAACACTCATGAATCCTAGATTTGTTTTGTGGGTTGCAGCCCGAATTTTTGCTTGAGATTTGAAGTGAAAGAATTGTTCTTTGATCGTAATTGAATTGAAAATTCTGTGGATTTTGTTCTAGGGTTGTCGGCTTAGGTTTCTTGTGACTTGCCCTGTGTCCACCAAGAGCTTGGAATGAAGGGAAACATCGGTTACAAGTCTTGCACTGGTAAACCTCTGCAGCCGCCGCCACTGCTGCCGTCTTATTGGAGGTGGAAGCCTCCGCCGCAGCCGGTTCTGATGGTTTTCTGGTGTGGCCTTTGGCCAAAAGAATTAAACAATTGGCCATATCTTCTTCTTCATCAGTATGTTCATGGGAATTAGGCGGCAAGGCGGCAAAACGATCGAAGCTACCTGAAATATCACTTGCACCGCCAAAGCCACCGTCACTGGCTGCGGTGCTGCATGAGCTGGTGGTGGCCATGGTTAATGCAAGTGGAGATGACGGCCTTGACCTCTTGGCGCGCTTTCCTTTGATTTTATGGCGGTGCTCCTTAGCCCCCATAACTTGTTCTGGAGCTTGCATAATATTAGATAGATAAAGAGAGGTGGTGGAGAAAAAAATGTTAATAAGGTTGGAGTTGCTTTAATATAAGAATGTCGATCGGCTTGTTTGATGGGATAAATTGTATAATACCGAACTCAAGTATGCCGTGTCGAATCGAGTACCAAAAAAATGTGCTTAGCCCTTGTGAGATGGATACTCGAAAGTGTTGTTTAGAAAGTTAAGGTATACCTACACAATGTTATGTGTGTATATGTAGAGAGAGAAAGTGTATGGGAAATATGAAGAGGTGAGGAAACGAGTGAGATTCGGTTGGCATTGAAGCAACCCCATTACTTTTTGGCAACGATTGATTCCTTGTGGAGGATTAGAGTGCAAGCCTGGCACCACACATTTTGCGCTTCACCACCCCCACTACTCCTCCTCTATTCCTTATTTTTGTCTTTTCTTTAATTTAAATGTTAAATTAAATAATCGAAAAGTACACAACACTCTAGCCTTGTTTGATTCCCATTTTAAGTGAAGAAATGCATTTTTAAATAGTGATTGATGGAAAATATGTAGTTAAAAATTAGAGAAAAGTTTTGAATTTACGTGTAATATTATTTTGTTGAAAAATGTGAGATTAAAAACGAATTTTAAAAAAATGAATTTTTAGAATAATGAGGTTCAAACATAAAAACCTTAATTTCATTAAGAGGTCGAACGAAGGGACCGTGAAACCGCGGGCTGCCACGTCCCGCATGCCCTTTCTTTCTTTCTTTTTTTAGGGACAAAATGAAAATAAATTAGAACATATTTTTGACAAATTATGAAATGGGTAAGTTTTCTTGGCTATTCCATATGGTCTATTATTATGTTTGCCTGTTTGACCTCCATTTTCGAAAATTTATTTTTTGTCAAACTTATTTTCAATCATATATTTTATTGAATTCACAAATTTTATCAATTCTTCAAGTATACATATGTACTTAAATGAATTGCTTAACACTGTGTACAACAAGTAAGTTTTAAAGGAATTAATTGTTCCAATGGTCACTGAACTTAAGTTTTTGTCTTTGATCAGTCACTAAAGTTTAAAATGTTGAGTTTTGAACAATATTTTTCAAAGTTCAATGGCCAACAAAACTTGACATTTTAAATTTCAGTGAGTAATCGAAAACGTAAACCTAAGTTCAATGACCATTGAAACAATTAACTCGTTTTAAAGACAAGATGCCATTACAAAAATCTTAATTTTCATTAAGAGGTCGAAATACGTTGCTAGCTACCAAGGACCGCTTCTTTCTTTTTCCCAGAATAAAAAAGAAGTTAAAACATATTTTTCCGCGAAGTTTAGATGTCAAAATTAAGCAACCCATGTGCACTTGACCCACCTGCATTGTACTCTACTCTAGTGATTAATTGGATTATGACCCCATGAATTACGCCGGTCGAATAATTAAACGTATAATTTTTTCGCCCAATGATTAGGATTGGTGAAGTACGGAATAATCACATGTTCCTTTGGACAGTACTAGTAATTGTCTTCTAAAAAGTCCATGTAGTTTAAGCAAGATTAGTTAATGAGTAGAAAACTTCTCAAAAGTCATTGAAAAAGTTAAATCAAATAAGAGCTTCGTCAATACAATTAATCTAGTAGTACATAATGAGGTGTACCTAAGAGTGTATACCTCCTCACATGGGGTGTGCGTCCATCCAAATAAATATTTTTTTATTCTGGTAGATCTCACATCCCCATGTGAGGGAGGTGTACATGTTTAGGTACACTCTCACGTACCACTAGCACTACCATCGTTAATAATGAGAAATGTTATGTGTACACCATGAGACGTACACAATGCATTACACATCTCTCACATGGAAAGGAGTTCACGAATATTTTATTGTGTGTGGGCCCCCTCCATATGAGGGAGGGCGTAATGCTATTATGTACACATAGCATTTTCCGTCAATAATAGGCTGCTCCTGAAGACGGCCGGACCCTAGGTGAAGCAGTCAAGTTGTGAACGTCAATTATTTTCATGTGTGACCTTATTCATTTGTTCATAAACCATTAACATTGTCAATTGTTTATGATGGTTAAAGTCAACCATAAATAATTGGTTATTATTTTATAATAAATATTATTAGAACTTTTATTTATTGTACAATTTGATTCCTGATATATTGTCTATAAACATAAGATTACAAATAGAGTTTTGACCATCATCATAAACAGTAAAAGCTGGATATTGTACGCCGTTTTTAAGTCATGATCTATAATTGCTAAAATAAGTGAAAGTCTTTCAATATGGATTAGTGTGTGTATTTTTCAATAATTGAGATTCTTTTTTGTTTATAAGCTCAACCGATAAATAAACTATATAATTCACACACGACAAACGGAGACTTAAGTATGTCATTTGAATTTAATAAAAACGATTGCCTCACCATCCAGCAAAAATTTCAAGTAGAGTCTAACCACAAGCACACAAATAGGCTCCTCAGCATGTTAAGCCTCAACATCAACCTAGCACGGATATTAATTGTGATGATCGATGGGTCAAAAAAATTGATATCTCGATAAAAATGGAAAACCAACAAAAAAAATAAAATTAAACTAAAACATTATTACATAAGAGAGCCTCTTACTTGTCCAAAGGAAGTTGTAGGGTCATTGTCCAAATTAGTTGTACCCTGTTCATGTCCCATTCATTTGCTTCTAATATTTAAGACAAATATGAACATCCAAATCCTATAAGATTTCACTTTAATTTTATACAATTTAATCCTATAAACTTATTTGTTTACTTATAAGTAAATAATGAAGCTTTCATCATAATAATAATAATAATAATAATAATAATAATAATAATAATAATAATAATAATAATAATAATAATAATAATTATAAGTTATTTAAACTTGTTTGGGGATAAATTGTTACTTAAAAACAAGTATACATTTTTTCTGAAGTTTGGTATTATGCTAAGTTGGAATGAGTAATACAGGGAAAGATTCTTGGCGTATTATTTGTGTACTTGAGTTTGTGAAGACAAGTATAATGTTGTTGAAGCAAAGCATTTATTTTATACTTTTCTTTATCATCTAATTTAAAAATGCTGAATGTTAGTGTAATATAAGTGACATCTTGTATTTAAGAAAAATGAAGTTAATTTTGATAATTCAATTGACTTACACATAGTTATTATTCAGCAAGAAAAAATAATTTAACTATTTCAAAGGCCAATTAATCAAGTTTGACTACAATATGATAATCCAACGAACATAAATACAAGAATGTGTTTGATTGACTTTATTTTTCATGAAAAATGTTTTTTTTTCATCCAAGTTCCTACTTTTCCATAAAAAATTTGTTTCAACTTTTAGTCGCGTGACCATATTTTCCTAAAAAAATAAGGAAAATATTTTCTTTAGGAAGATGTGATTTTTATTTTTCAGATAATTCACTCTCTTATCTATCCACTTTCTCTCATTTATCCTCTAATAAAAAAATGGACAAGTACAATATTTTTTAAGTCGAAAACTAAATCAATCAAATTGTCAAACACATTTAATTACTAATTTTCATACAAATAAATTTTCGACAATTGAATTTTTTTAGAATTTATTTTCTTTCCATCCAAATTTAGTATTTACAATCAAACGCACTCTAATAGAATAAATTAAATATATGTTTATTAACCATTGGCTTGGATTTAAAGACAATCTACTAGACCGTGGTTGATTTGCCGTTTTCGACCCATTTTCCGTTTTTCATTTTCGAAAACGCGGAAAACGCGTTTGGTTTGTCGTTTTTGAAAACGAGTTAAAATTTATAATTAAAAACGCAAAACGACTTTTTATCGTTTTCGACGTTTTCAGTTATGAATGTCGAAAACGCTCAAAACGGGTTGTTTTTGGGGAAAACTAAAAATAATTTTTTGAAAATAAAAATGGATAATGAAAATGCAAACTAACCACTACCTTAATAATTGGAGACATAGTAAGTGACAGATGTCCGTCAATAATTGTTTATCTAACTCACTGCAATGCAAACTCATTCACGTGCAAATAAAGTGCAATTAGCTTAACTTAATTTCCTTTTAGGACGATGATCAGCAGTTTATTAGGTCCCATATATTAGCTGTTCCATTACTCTATACCATGTCTCAATCATGCATTAAGTACAAATCAAATTATTGCATTACAAAGAATCGAGATCTATAATATCTTAACTTTCTTGGGAATGCAATCTATTCATAGTTTTAGGATCTGTTTGATAAGATTTCTACTTCTAATAAAAGAATTTTATGAGAAAACTGATTTGGAGGCATAATTAACCCTAGAACTTATGAATAATGTCAAAGATTTAGAACCTCTTAATCAAATCAATATCGATGGGAGATATAGAAAACACAGGGTGGAGAAGGTGGGCTTGGGATAAATTATGGGTTGACGTTGGAACTAAAATTAGATTTTTAGAGTGGATTACAATTTAGAAATAGGCTTGACATAAATTTTTGAGGAACGTCTACCAATTTTATGAATTAAAAAAAAAAAAATTGAAGCCAGTTTTATAAATTAAATGTAAAAGTTGACGCCCTGGGCTCTAGCCCAAATTCTTTGTTGCTTAAAAAAAAAAAAAAGAAAGTTGAACCCCAACTTTAAGGGTCCCCCACAGTCCCGTCCCGCCCCTGGAGTATCGTGAGAGCGATCAATCGCGAGATGTGTCCCAACAGACTAGCGAACAAGAGCTGTCTGTGCATTGTTACTTCATTTGCCAAGGGAGAGGGGTGGCAAGGATCGTTGTTTAACTTTCAATTTATTTTCTATTTTTAGTTTCATAAAATTGCATTAAAAAAAGAAACTATTTTTTAGTTGAGAAATTTTGGCCATGTTCAACAAAGCTTTTTGAGATAATAAGTTGGTAGATCCCATTAAATCCCTCATTATCTTAAAAGAGAGAATATGAAGTTTATTGTTCATTTTTGTCACATAGATTTTCACATGAAATTAGTTTGAAACTGGTTTGGCAACAATAAATTATGAGGAAATTAGGCTACGTACTCTAAAAAATTGACAAATTAGATTTATACACTTAAAACAAATTAAAACCTCTATCAACCGTAATTAATACTCCCAAATTTCCCCCCTAATTCAATTTAACTCCGAATTTTTATCTTAAATAATCAATTTCAAGAAAAATAAATTTTCATTTCATTTGAGTTCTGCAGATGGAGAACCTGCAATTTGCGGGGGAACTCATCAGAGAATTTATGGTGGTTAGAGGATTTACAAAAACTCTCCAATCTTTTGGAAAAGGGCTGGAAGTGATATTAGC